CGGGCTCACTGCTCGAAGCAGCGTCGAGGTGACTCAGGGCGTCGTGAATCATATCGTAGCAGCGCTTGCGGTCGTTGAAGGCATCAGCGCGAGGGTCTCCCGCGGGCTTTCCATCGTTGACCCATGATAGAGCCGTGTTACCCCTGTCCTTCTCCCGGGCCACAACCAGGCAAAGCTGGATCGCCCCGGCGTAATACTTGAGCTCGATGTACTGTGCAACCGCGGTCTTAAGATTGGCAAAGGTCAGGCTGCCGGCCACCCTCTCAAAGAGCCTCAAGCTTTCGTGAAGAAGGCTTCGGGATTGGTTTGTGTTCGGAGGTTGGTCAGAAGCACGCTTGAGCTGTTCCTGTGCCTTGAAAATGACAACATCATCCGGACTACAGAAGCTACCGCATCTCCTTCGCAGAGCGTCGGCGACAGTTTCAACGTTTGAACCGCTCTCGATGTTGCGGTTAACAATAGCCTTAACCAGAAGCTTGGCGAGGTCCTTGCCGTCGGTTTGCGAGAAAAGCTTCTCATAAGTGAGGTCCTTGAGCTGTTGTTGGGCCGTAGCGTCAAGGCGGGTGTAAATATCGGCAACTCGCTCGTCAAACAGCATCAGCACGAAAGAGATGCCCTCAGAGATGCTCTCCATCAGCTTCTGCAGAGCGTGCAGAGCCTGGTGCTCAGCCTGCAGGGCAACTTCTTCTTGACGGCTAGAGACATGCTGCAGGTCGGACGGGCCTGACAAGCCCTGAATAAGACCCCGGTTGGAATCGAGGAATCGTCGAAGCCGCTCGAGGTTCTCCTGGACCGCGCTCAACTTAGGGAGAGGAATAGTAGAGCTGATGGTAACACCACCAGTGGCAGAAACGCCGGGTGTGATGACAACGGACTTCCAGAGCTGGCGAATCAAGCGGGAGAGGTACAGAGCTAGGGCGTCGTGTCGGGAAGAGAGTCTGACAGAGTCGGTAGTCAGAGATGTGCCGTCAGTCTCGGTAATGGTGGGCTGTCCACCAAAATCAACAAAGACAGATCTCGCCCGGTCCTCTGTTGCCTGATCAATGGCACGCGCAGCGCCTGGTCGAGAATCGCCACCATGACCGCAGGCTACAGCCAGGGCAGTTGAAACAGTCTCGACGCGACCGTACAGCTGAATAAACCGGCGGCAGACCTGCTCATAGCCTTCATCTCCCACGGCGCCCCTGATCGCCGAAGCAAAAATATCCACGAATCGCCTTCGTCGAATAATGTGCACACCTGTATTGGTGAGCACCGCAAACTCGCTGGGCGCCTCATCAAACTGAACAGCCAATTCGTTGCCAAATCCAAGGGGCTGTGGCGCTGCTGAGAAGGGCTTCGTAATCAGGCCAACGGCCTCCGCCCGGCTTCCAATGTCGATCCAACTTGCGCTTTCATAGTACTTCAACGGAGCTGTCGGGGGCGTGTCCTTAATACGGCCAGTCTCGGGGCCAGACACGAAAAGGGTATCCTCGTTCGGATTGGAGCCCCTACTGACGAAATCCAGAAAGTATCCGGGCGCAAATCGGGCACCTTGTCGGCTCTCGGTCAGCATGGCTGATTCTAAATCGGTTATCGTCTCGCCTCCAGGATAACCAGACCGGCGAGGGTGTTGGCTAGGAGGGAACTTGATGAATTGAACCTGCATGCTCTGAGGGGCCATGTTTGACTGGGAGCCATAAAGGTAGGATGCTGCGCTGGTGGCACTGAAGAATAGACGGCAGCCGGTGTTAGTCAGAGCCATCAAGTGAAGCTTCGATGCCTCCTGCTTAGAGATTGGGCTGATCGAGACAATACTTGATCGATCGTTCAACAACATGGACTGGCTGATCATGTGCGCAATATCGCGAAGACAGTGCACCTTCTCCTTCTCGATCACCTTGTTAAGACGGTCGGGGGCCTCCATGTGGTATGTTCGAATCGTCGATCGGCTCGAAAGGGTATAAACGAGGTTTCTCGAGTCGTCGATAACGATGTCCTTGAGGTGTTCGGGGGTCTTTTGTGACCAGAAGCCTCCTTGTAGAGTGACAACTGAAGACCAGCCAGGATTCGTGTGGTTAATCTTGCCGCAGCGATTTGAGAACCACTTCTCCTCGGACTGGTAGTACAGCTCGTGGATATCGATGTCATTGCTTCCTCCAAAGAAAATTCGGCCGTTCGCGGCTCCCTTGATGACTCTAACATCGGTGCCGCGGAGCGGGAGTTGCATCTTGGTCTGGTACAAGGAAACCGCCTTGGTTCCAGCAGGGGTGTCGGTCGCGGACACACCAAGAAGAGTGATTTCCGAAGACGTAGCAACAACCAGAATATGCGTGATCGTTCCAACAAAGATACCTGGCTTAGGTGGCACGAGCGCAACAGCGTGAATCGTGTGCGGCTGGTCCTCGAAGCCGATCAGCTCAGGGTCGGGATGGGTGTAGTCCCAGAGAAACAGAGAGTTGTCAATAACAACCCAAGCATGGTTGATCTCTGCAAAAAGACCCATCAAGGTTTGGAGCTCGCCAGTGTTGTAGTGATCGAAGACTTGGTTCGGGATAGGGTACATCTGCGTCTTGTGGAAGGGGGCCATGGGGGATTCTGTAGTTTCAAGGTCGTACTCAGAGGACGCGCCCTCTTAAGCACTGTCAGCTATCTTCTTCACTTCACACCATATCAACTGGGAACCTACGTCTGCAATATGAATCCAGGTCTGGGAACCGGCCATCGGCCTGGAGAAAGGTGTTGATGGCCTTGGCTGCCTTGACGACGGGAGGAACATTCTCGGATCGCGGAGGTGGCAGCGCGGTCGGCGCCACGAGACTCTCGCTCGTAGGTGTCCTTGAAGTAGGTGTCGTCGTGGTGACGGCTCGAGATGTCGATGTTGGGGCAGCCGTTCTGGATGTCGAGCCAGACTGGCTGTTCTCAGCTGCCTGGAACAGCTGGCGGCGCACGGGATCAGGGCCCGACTGGAACCTCGAGGTAACGGCCGGAGTGTTCAGAAAAGCGCCTGGAACTGGTCGCACCGGAGTGGTCTGTGGGAACGACATGATGGGCAGCAATATCGAGACCCGCGCCGGGCCTTTGCAGCTTCAGCGATGCCGTGCTATACCGCTGGACGCAGGTCGCGAACCACCATGCAAAGACGACGGGATTGCGCGTGTTGGAGGATGGCAGTAAAAGCCTCGAATCCGAAAGTCGCGCTTCTGGCCTCGTCGCAGCTCGTCGTGTCGGTCGCGTCGTCGTCCGGCCTGAGATGGGATGTATGGTCAGAGGTACACGCTGTGGCAGTGATAAACAATTTGACGAGAGCTTGGGGAGGCTGGAGTTGGAGCACCGGATTTTTCGCGACTGGGGCTTTGGCGCTAGGACCATTTGGGCGCAAGGCTGAGACTTGGGACCAGCAACCAGATGCTACGCGTTATGAGTGGACAAAGATTCTAGAAGCAAAGCATAATTTTGCGAAAGAATTGGCAAAAGTGTCGTTACTGCGCATAGCATTCTTTCTTTATGCCTTTCACATCTAAGACACTACCTCTCACCGATCATCTTGTAGCCTTCGGCGAAGTTGGTGTCATGTACGGAGCTTCAGTCACAGAGATTCCTTGTCACACTTCACACCCTCATGATTACTTTCTCTACTGCCTCTACTTCCTATCACATTCCTCCTTTTAAATCCACGTGTTTTGTTCATCCGCTACGCCTAACCTTTCCAAGTATCCATCCATGACCATCAATTACTGCTTCTTAGCCTCCCGAGCGGCCTTGCGCAGAGCCCTTCGTCGGATGTCCACGTGCATCTTCTTGTTGTAGAAGATAGTGATGGGGCTGTTGACGCCAGGAACGTTCTCAATCAGCCAGAGCATAAAGGAGTGGCTCCACCAAGGTGTGTATGTGTTGGGGGCAGTCTGGTAGCCACCCAGGCCAACCTTTCCAAGTGCGGCCTTGACAAAGTTGCGAGCATTAGGGACAAGCAGACTAGGGCGGCGGACCTTGCTCATGGCCGTGGTAACGAGGTGGCTCAGAACAAGGTAGACATCGACATTGTCATCAGCAAGCTCCGAGGACAGGGCGTTGCTCCACTGCTGAAGGAAAGCCTTGCTGCCAGAGTAGGTGGCCAGGTAGGGTGTAGGAGTCCAGCCACCGAAAGAGCCCATGGTCAGGATGAGGCCACGCTTTCGCTGCTTTAGGATAGGAGCAACAGTCTGAGTGACCCGAAGTGTGCCGATACAGTTGATGGTGATGATGTTCTGAAGCTCCTCCTTGGCAGTATCGAGGAAGGAAACGGGAATGCTGTGGCTCTGGCCGACGTTGTTGATCAAAATACCAACGTCGAGACCCTGGATAAGCTCGGCCAGTCGCTCGTAGTCGGCGTCGTTGTTCTGGGAAAAGTCCATGGCAAGGCTCTTGATTTCGAGACCCTTTCCGGGGAACTTTTCCTGGATCTCGGCAGCCAGAGACTCTAGCTTCGACAGAGTTCGGGAAACGAGGACGAGGTTGAAGCCCTTGGCGGCGAGCTGGAGAGCGTACTCCTTGCCAAGGCCATCAGAGGCGCCGGTCACGACAGCCCAGGTGCCAGGCTTGCCATACTTGCGAAGCTGCAGAAAACAGAATTAGTTATTATGTTACTCCAGCATAAATATCATGGCCACATACGTTGGTGCCTCCCAGAACGAAGGCGCTGAGCACGAGCTGGAGATAGCTCAACAGCTTGGAGCCGAGCACGAGGGCACCAATACCAGCAAGACTCCACTGAAGAGGCTGTGGCACGCGCTGGAAGAAATTGGAAATGGCGTCCATTTTGACGAATATTCAAACGGTCGCAACTCGAAGGAATAGGTTGTCGGAGGGAAAAGGACAGCTCCTCGATCAAGACTCTCAAGATCTGCAACCCCTCGGCTCTTGGCCCGCCAGGAACAATTAATTACCCCTGACGTTGTTGAGGTGGCCCAAGCTTTCTTCCGTCCCGCGGCCGCCGATTTACAGGTCCCTCCCACCAAAAAGCCCAGAGCCGATCTCACCATCCTACACTTTCAAAGACATCAGCGCGATCTGTGGCCAATTCTGACCGCACAATTGCAATTGTTGAGTATTTTGCATTCTATTTAGTGGCAATGGATCTTCTCAAGTCTATTCTTCCCGAGGCAAAGGGCATTCTGCCCTATCACATGCTTATCGTGAGTCCCTACTCTTCCTTTAGTCGACCGGCACTCAATTGACCGCTACAGCTCTCTATCATTTCCATTGGCAACTCGCTGCAGACGTATGCGACCCTACACTTCTCCCGCCGAGTCTACAACGGTCGATTCATCCGAAACGCGAAGCTGCCACCGAAGACGGCCACGTTCGAGCCCGAGGACTCAGTCAACAAGCTGGTGTCAGCCCAGAATGACCCCAAAGCCACTGACCAAATGACCCCTCTTGCGGGCAGGCTGTTTGGTACCTGGACCCTCATCACCTGCATCGTGAGATGCTACGCGGCCTACAACCTGCACATTGGCCCCGTCTACACCATTGCGTACTGGACCTACGTGGTTGCGCTGGGACACTTTGCTAGCGAGCTCTTCGTCTTCAAGAGCATGACCTTTGGTCTGCCCCAGATCTTCCCCTTTACTCTGGCTTCTCTCTCCTTGATCTGGATGCCTCTTGTTCGTGACCATTATGTTACGCTCAACTAGATGCGACAATGGGTATAGACAAGATCTATATATAGGGTAAATATGATGGTTGCCCCTAAAAAGGTTACACCATACGGTCTATAGACAAAATAGAGAGCGAAATTGTTTGGGATTAACTGATGACCCTCAAGCTTAGAGATTCTTCCGATACAGTTCTCCTCCGCAGTTGCGGAGGCGGACCGTAGCCTGCTCGGGCGTAATGTCACGCTGCGGCTCAGCCATGAGCTCGTAGCCGACGAGGAACTTCTTGACCGTGGCCGAGCGCAGCAGAGGTGGGTAAAAGTGCATGTGGAAGTAGGCGTTTTCCACCTCCTCGGGCGTCCCGCTGAGAGGGGCCTGGTGAAGTCCAGAGCTGTAGGGGAAGTTGCATTCAAATAGGTTGTCGTATCTTCGGGTGACCTCTTGCATCGCCTCAGCAAACTGGAGTCGTTCCTCAGGCTTAAAGTCGACGAGGGATCGAATGTGTCGCTTGGGCAGAATAAGGACCTCGAATGGCCAGACAGCCCACCAAGGACAAACGACGACAAAGCCCTCGTTCTGCCAGACAACACGCTCCTCCTTTTGCAGCTCCAGCTTGACATAATCGCCCAGGAGATGTCGGCCTTCATGCTCAGCTCGGTACTTGGTCATCTGAACCAGCTCCTTGCCAGGCTCCTCTGGCAAAGTAGAAGTTGTCCAGACCTGACAATGAGGGTGGGGGTTCGAGCAGCCCATAGCTGCGCCCTTGTTCTCAAAGATTTGCATGTAGCGGTACTCGTCCTCTGGGATAGGAGCGGCATCCTTGGGCAAGGAGATGGTCAGCTTCTCGGCCTCCGCCGCGAGAGGATTGGATGCTGCCAGATGGTTGGCGTAGATGCGAGTCCAATGCTCGATAACAGGCACGATCTCGTTGGGCGTCATGTCGGCCAACGTGACATGATGCTTTGGGGAAAAGGTGATAACATAACAGACGCCCTTGACGCCCTTCGCCCGGAGGAGCAGAGATTCCAAATCATTAGACGAGGACTCGCTTTCGTAGTCTGGTTGTTCTGCCTTTACAGCGCTATAATCGTTAACAAAAGCAAAGGTGGTGTCGTAAGCTGGGTTTTGGCCTCCAGCAGCGCGTGTGTTTCCTGGGCAAAGATAGCACTGAATGGACAGTCAGATCATGTTTGACTGGACGAGGTGTCATGAGCGCACCTTGGGGTCATATTCAGGAAGTGAGCCTGCGACAGCAGCCTCTTGCTGACCCCTACGACATATTAGAACAAGCTTCTGAGGCGAAAGAGGGAATAACTCACTGCCAGGGCCGCTTCGTCCGGTGGGGAGACACGAGAAGCCAGGAATCCGTCAGTGGATTATACCTGCGGTGAGATATGTCGTCGAGGATCTGATCAGGCATGATGGCGTGGTGGGGTTTCAACAACAGCACAGCAATGGGATTTTCTTTGGCGATGAGCCAAGAGGTTCAGTGTTATGTACGGTCTGAGTTTCCAAGGTGAAATCGGTGAGGCAGGGAAGAAAATGACTCTTAGAGGTTCTGGAGATTGTGAATGGCGCGGTTCAACGCCTGGCCCGGTGGCACTCAAAGGTACCGCCGTCATTCTGGATGGATCCATCCCTCGGCCGCGCTCTCGGCGAAGCTTTCAGCGAGGGGAACATGTGCTTGGATATTTGCCACGATCTCCGTATAGAGGCATTATCTAGTGGTTTTCTTGATGTCCATATACTAATCTTAGAGTGCACCATATCTGTTGAACAAGAACGACTTCATTCTTCCTTGAGCAAGGTTGCTTTGATTCGAGATTTGTGAGCAACGGACGACCCCCAAAGACCCCGCGATCAAGCTTCTCAAACCCCCACCACATCGCTAGCCCAATGGCGTTCCACATACTGGAACGTTGTCATTCTTTGCAACCGTCCAGTAGCATCAACGATGATCTAAATGTTGGGGAAGGCCTTGGTGTCACTCTTTGATCAAGTTTCCATGAAAAGCAAAGCTTCAGATCAATCTGGGAAAGGAATATTAGGCCGCCCGGCGCCGCGGCCGAATGAACCCCCGAATGATTCCCCGAGCCCCGTGTGAGATAGCATCAAGGAGCTATACCCCATTAGTAGTCCTACAGAGTTGGGGTTGAATTGGATTAGAGCATGTGCAATGATGAATAGTCCGTGGTACCGTAGTAAATCGCTGAATGACTGCTAAGTAGGAAACGAGCTGGATATAATTTACGCTGCCTATGGATCCGGGGATGACAGCATGCTTGCCTCAATGCGCCTACACGCAAAGCGGTGCCAATTCCAGTTTCCTCATTCTAGTTCACCAAAGCTGATTATTTTATGTCTGAGAACAAGAACATTTACTTACTTGCAAATAAATCCAGCTTCCACGGCATCGAGCAACCGAATTCGCATTGTTCATCTTTTAGCATCCGTTTTAGGAATAGCGGCTCCCGTCAGTGGCTCACTCCCAAGCGTCCGTGCCTGGATTCGAAACACGTGACCTCACTGTGGAGGCGGATACGGCACGCTCAACAGTGGGACATGGGGTTGGGCTCCATCCAACCAACCAAGCCAGAGCGCCGAAATCAACATCGCAACTCCAAGCGACGAGTCGACCCATCACTCGCTCCATCAACCACGACCCCTAATCACCTATTTCCATCAAAATTCGCGTCGCATCATCAATCTCAACATTTGCGCATCACCATTAACCCTCCCTTGGACCGTCATCGCGCCCAGAGTGGCACCAAACCTCCGACCACGATCCGACAGGGGGGGTAACGTCGAGCTCCCCGCCCGACATCGCAACCGGCGAGATGGGAGTTATACGTAAGAAAACCATCACCAGAGGGAGCGAAGGAGGTGTCAAATATGTCTGCGACGTCTGTTCGTCTGATATCACATCTACGGTAAGCCTCCCTGTTGTTTGGCTGCTGCCTGGTACCTGTCGGGGATGTGGAAGACGCGCCCCGGAGATATACCGGCTAAACCTGTCATGTCATGATGGAGCGGCTAATCTTGCTGTGTAGGTCCGTATTAGATGTGCCGACCCAGCGTGTAGTGATTTCGACCTCTGCGTCTCGTGTTTTGCCAAAGGAGAAGCCCGGAATGCTCATGACCCCGCGACTCATGCCTTTCGTGTCATTGAGCAGAACTCATTTCCCATCTTCGACCGGGAATGGGGTGCCGATGAAGAATTACTCCTTCTCGAAGGCGCAGAGATATACGGTCTCGGTTCATGGTCCGACATTGCCGATCATATTGGTGGATTCCGCGAAAAGGACGAAGTCCGCGACCACTATCTCCAGACCTATGTCGACTCGCCATGTTTTCCACTTCCGAAGCGATGCGCCCCGAAAGATTGTGAGCTAGCCAACGAGATTCCCCGTGAAGAGTTCCAATCGCGCAAAAAGAGGCGAATAGAAGAACGAAGAGATGCAGCCAAAAATGCACCAACACTTCAGCCCAAGACGAAACCCACGGCTAGTGTACCGAGTTGTCATGAAATCCAGGGTTACATGCCGGGTCGTTTGGAATTTGAGACCGAATACGCAAATGAGGCAGAGGAAGCTGTCCAGCTTATGCAATTCGACCCCGGTGATGGACTGAATCCCAGGACTGGTGAGCTTGAGCCCGAGATGGAGCTCAAGCTTACTGTGATGGACATTTACAACTGCCGACTGACGCAACGTGTGGAACGCAAAAAGGTCATCTTTGAGCACAATCTTCTCGATTACCGGGAAAACACCAAGCTGGAGAAGAAGCGCACAAAGGAAGAAAAGGACCTACTTCAAAAGGCCAAACCCTTTGCTCGGATGATGAACCACAAGGACTTTGAGGACCTCAACCAGGGCCTGATTGATGAGCTCAATTTGAGACAAGCCATCTCGCAGCTACAGGAATGGCGGAATAACCGGATTGGAGATCTTCGGAGTGGTGAAAAGTACGAAGCCGACAAGGCGTCACGCATCCAAAAGTCGATTCCCATGGGATCAATGGACCGTGAGCGCTTGGCATCTGCTCAGAGGTCAAAGCAGCCTCCCCCCGAGCCTCCCAGTGGAGCCGCCCTGCTTGTCGCCCCAGAGCTGCCCATCCGGCTGTCGCCGACACCCAACGGCGAGGTCAACGGTGACAGCAAGGCGCCGACGAACGGCCAGACCAATGGTACCAATGGTGTCAATGGTGTGAACGGTGTGAATGGCGTCAATGGGCATGCACCACCAAAGCAGAAGTACGCTGCGCAACCCATCTCGGGTGTACAGCCCCTGCAGCTGAGCCAGGACAATGCACCAGACTTGCATTTGCTCACACCTGAAGAAGCCAAACTGTGCGAAGTGATCAGGCTACAACCAAAGCCATACTTGATGATCAAGGAACAGATCCTCAAGGAGGCGCTCAAGACCAACGGCACGCTGAAGAAGAAGCAGGCCAAGGAGATCTGCAGGTTGGACTCGCAGAAGGGAGGGAGGATTTTCGATTTCTTTATCAACTCGGGATGGGTGGGCAAGGCGTGAATCGGCTGTTTTGTTTTACTGAGAAATACCCTGAAGACCGGACTGGGGGCGTTTTGCGAGATGCCTTGACTAGGTTGTTTGTTTGAAGCTGTTGTACTGTATACTTTGTGTATAGATATTGATGAGCGTACGACTAGATCCAATGATTGTTCCAATATGTGCGTTCTCTTAGCTGTGAGTGTCAAGGTGAAGGCGTGTTGCTCGTTGATGCAACCCCGCCATCTCAGGCTAGCGAAGCCAGATTTCCTTGGTGGGGCAGTTGCGTTAGCCCGTCTGTTGAGATGGACCTCTCAGAAGGGTCAAGACTTGATGAGACGCAACTCAGAATTGTTCAACCTTGGTTGTCCATGAGGCTGTTCAGGTCCATCAGTAAACCCTTTCTTTCCCAGTCTCGCACAATGACCACCATTGCGACCCTGAAGCGGCTATCGGCCAAGTCCTTGTCGGAGAAGATTCTCGAGGAGGTGAACGCTGCGGACCCCACGTTTGCCATTATTGATGTTCGTGATGATGGTGAGTATACCTTGCAACACCGTAACATGATGCAGCCTCAGTTTATTCACATATCACCTATCTTCATACTCCACTCAAGACGTTCAAACTTGGATCATTTAGTCTCAATCCCAACTGACCAGCTTTGCAGACTGGATCGGCGGCCATATCAAGGGTGCAAGCAACATCCCCGCCCACACCCTCGACGCCATGATGGCGACCCTTGTGCGCCGTCTCAAGGACAAGAAGACGGTCGTCTTCCACTGCGCCCTCAGCCAAATCCGAGGACCCAGCGCCGCGCTCAAGTACCTCCGCGAGCGGGACGGCCTGCTGCGCTCCATGGGCGAGGACCCCAAGGGAGCAGATGGGCAGGAAGTTTTTGTGCTGGATAGAGGGTTCTCTGGGTGGCAGGAGGTGTATGGAGAAGACGAGAGATTGACGGAAGGGTATGTGAAGGATCTGTGGGATAATTACTGATAAGCGACATCCAATTTGCAGAGTTTGGCGATGGTTCGTGCAATTTTGAGCAGGTTCTCAATACAACGGGTATCTTCCTCTATCTAACTCTCCAGTCTACTGAGAGCCATCACTGTCCATCGTTCTCGTGCTTCGGTATTTCAAGCGACGGTGCCAGATTTGTCAAACACTGCTGCTTTCGACGACGATAGTCTGAAAGGGAGGCTGCAAGGAGGAGCAGGAGGAAAGCCCAGACATATCCCTTGCCCAGGTACCAGCTATTTTCCCCCGTTGGGTTCGGTATAGGACGCGGATCTTGCCAAAGTAACGCCGACGGTGGTGATTGAGATAGCATCGGAAGTGCAAATGGTGAAGCCGGTGGTCGTCGTCGTCGATGTCGCGATGGCGGTGGAAGCAGTAGGGGTAGTGGCGGCTCTGGCAGTTGTGATTCTTGCTGTGCCATCTTGGCCCAGTTTGTCCTCCATCTGCTTATTCTCAATCTTGTTGTCGCTAAAGTCGTTATCGCCGACTTCATACTGGCTGTGGTGGTGATAGCACCCAGTCCTTTGGTTGGAACCCCCCTCTTGATGACTGATTTGGTTGAGAAGGCGACTATCCAAGAGGTGATCGGGACAGGCAACATCTCGTAAAGTCTATGTCCTTTGTTGGCAATACAGCCTATAATCGTATCTCGGCTCGGGTCCGATAATCTCTGATTCAAAGTATGTATGATATATCTGGTGTGGTGGTGAGGACGGATGTCTGTTGTCTTGGATCGACGCGAAGCTGATAGGAGGAAAAGTTTTTACAGAAAGTAGAAAAGGGAGGTAGTTAATCCATCAGGGCTTCTAAGGTGCTGCTTTTCACCGAGCGTCATAAGGAGAGTTTGTAAATACATCAAGTCCACAGGATAGGGTAACGGCTCTGGAAGGCACGACGAAGAAAACATCCAGAAGTCACCATGAAGTTGCTGGTTACCTAGGAGTAAGGAAACTTGAAAATTCTCTATCTAACTACACATTTGTCTGATGAAGCTCGGGATTTTGAGGGGAGAATGCCATGAAACTGCGCGGTATCACAATCAATAAGAGGGCAGAGGTTGAGTTTTGGAGTGGGTTAACTGGCTCGCAAGAACTATTTATCCCACAACAGTTCGGAACGCAGAAACTTATTCACATGTGAATACAAATGTAGTATACAAATGTTTTATTTCGTTCAAATCAAACAAAATCGCATTCAAAGGGCATTGTAGAGCTGACTACAAAGCAGACCTGCACCGTGAATATTGTGGTGTTGTTATCCTGAACAGCCTCACGATTTGACCCCTGTCCGATATGACGCAACCTAGCCGCAGACTCCTGGGGCTTTCTTTTAAGTGGCTGACGATTGGCCGGTGTCGCACTGGGAGAGGAGACTCTAGAGCCCAAAACCTCCCCTCGCTTCACTTCCCACTAAAGATTCCTTAGTTTCCCAGCCTGTTTGTTTTGTTGATATGAAGCTGGCTGTCCTACGTGTTTCCTTCCGTTCCAATTGTTTCCTTTATCGGCGTTGTTTGTCTGGGCCTTCCAACAGACATCCATTGGGCGTTGTGCATACCAACTACTTAAGAACTATCTCGACTTCTTCCTTATCTTTCTCCAACACGTCAACCGAACAATCCGCACAGATCCTCACCAGAACCAAGCTCAACTTTACCCCGCCACCGAGATCGCATCCTACCGCAGACATGGGCTCGCAGCCGGAGCAGACCAAGCAGAATGGGCCCGTGGACCTCCGTCCAGCTGAGGTTGCCGCAGACCTTGGTTACACGCCTGTTATCCAGGTCTCTGAGCCATGGACGGTCGATAAGGTAGTCGCCAAGATCCCTGGTGATGCCCCCGTTGAAGGGTCTGAATCGCCGCTTGCCTTTTTCCACCTCCTCGAGCGACTCAAGACGACCAAGCGAGAGGGATGGCGGCGATTCGGCATTGAGAGGTAACTTGTCTGGAATATGCTCTGCTTAGACCGTTACTGACATTACCAGGGGAGAATCCATCGCCGACCACATGTACCGCATGTCCATGATTTCCATGTTCGCCCCGCCGTCCCTCGCCCCGAAGCTCGATCTTGCCAAATGCATGAAGATGTGCTTGATTCACGACATGGCTGAGCTGCTCGTCGGCGACATCACCCCCGTCGATGGCGTCCCCAAGCCTGAGAAGAGCCGTCGCGAGTCCGAGACGATGGACTTTTTGACCAAGAACCTTTTGCGAAACGTCGCTGGCGGTACAACGGGCGAGGATATCCGTGCCATCTGGCAAGAATATGAGGACTCCAAGACGCTCGATAGTCACTTTGTGCACGATGTGGACAAGATGGAGCTGCTCCTCCAGATGGTCGAGTACGAGAAGCGTGGAGATGGCAAACTTGATCTGGGCGAGTTCGCGTACGTCGCGACCAGAATGACGCTCCCCGAGATGAAGGCCTGGGGTCAAGAAGTTCTCAAGGAGCGGGAGGCCTTCTGGGGAAGCAAGACCCACGTCCACGGAGAGCAGGGCGTCGACGGAGGAGTCAAGCCGGAGCGGAAAGGTCAGCAGGATGACTACTACTCTCGTGGCTGAGCTTCTCGTGCCTGGGCTTTTTTGAATTTGAGGACCAAGACAGGAGCTGGAATGATACCAATGGCCTTTGGAGTTTTCAAGGGATGATGGCGTCTGGACTGGAGGGAAGGGAATGGTACGGATCCTTAGAGGGCATCTGTTCACGCAGCATGAGTAACATGGTTAATGAGCAAGCAAGAGTAACGACAGTGTGTTTAGATAGCATCATGCATTAGATCACCTGGTTTGCCGCTTTTGCCATGAATGATGGGAGCAACGATGCCAGCCTGGATGCTTATCTAATCAATCATCCACATTTTCTAGACTCAGATAAAGCCTCCCACGCGGGTTAAGAAATAAACAAGACACCAGAACAGCAGAGAGTATTAATTAACTCATCTAAGATTTAGTAAATAATTTTCTATATTTATTATAAAATTATTAGAAAGATCTTACAATAATTATAATATTTTAGAGCTTTATTCTTTCTCAATTATGTTAGAGAAGAGTAAGCAAATATGTTTATTGTATTAGTGTCTCGTTTTTTCCTTGACCCGGGTGCCTCCATTTCGGCGATCTCCTAGGACAACCAATGCAGAAGCACATGGTGGAAATGAATCAAATCAATCGCCAGATGAAAACTGCGGCTCCTCCCCCTGATCCATTGTCCCCGTTCTTTGTCAAGAAGCTAAACCCTGCCGATCTGGGTGGGCCAACATCAACCGCCATCCCCAACCAAAAACCCAGAGAACCCGCCGACGCAGGGGCACAGAGCTGGCCCGGGGAGCTGCACTCGCTAAAGCAGAGCAAAGCTTTGTCTAGCCACGCACTATTCGGCAGCGGTGAGCAAAGAGGCAAAAAGGTCGGCTGGAGGGGGCAAGGTTGAGGAATGAAAAGAACCCAGCCTCTCGATACTCCTGCGTTTCGTTGCGACTGCGACTCCTTTGTTTCCTGCATCCTTCTTACACCACCTGCAGCACCCTCCACCAGCAAATTGAAACTCGGCAGCTCCAGGCAAGCAATCAGCTTAAGAGCTGCACCAATCATCCATCGACAAAGACGCTGGCCCCCCAACCGCAAACCCCCCCTGTCAAACAAAACAACCAAGTCGGCAAGCTGTTTGGCGCTGAACGTCACAAGACTGCGGCAAGCGGCAGACGGGCCTCGATTTCAAGGCCCTCTTTCTTACTTGCATTCATCGCATCATACTACGTACCTACAGTGCAGCGCCAAAGGACGCAGATCACGTTCCTCGGGACCCAAAGTTTCGTTAGAGTTGCTGCGTGCAGCAGGCAACCAAAAGGCAAACTCCCCCTCTACCACATGCGCTGAAGACCATCTCTTTGTCAACACCACCCGCCCGCACACGGACGAGGCACAAGACCCGACCCCAAACAAAGCCAGTCACGAGGCGATAACTCAACCATCGCCATTTGTCTCGCCGCTCAAATCACGATTCCTCTATTGCGCTCGATCTCGAATTCATCCTCGATTATCGTTCCGACTTGACGACTCAGTTTACCCCAGACCCGCTCCAAGGCGTAGTCCTGACATGTGTCTCGGCTGCCGCTGAGCTTCTGTTCACTCTTTTACAGCTTCCAGCTCGCTCCGATCCTTGCGCGCGCTTGCGCATGACGCCCGCCTTCCGCATTCCTACTTTTCAAGAGAAATGACCGTTCCTCCACATTTCCACATGCCGGGCGCTTTTCACGGCGAAGGCGTCCATCCTGGGCTGTTTCGCCCGCCCATGTCGCCCAGCTCGAGTACCAGCTTCGGATACGCTGCCCCTCGCATCAGCGCCGCTCATGACGTGCACGCATCTAAGCGCAAGCGGAATCGCCATGACATGTCACGATCGCAAGATATCCGAATGGAAGGCGACCTTGACCATAATGGCTTCTTCAGTACACCTGTCGCGCAGAACCGAAGTGGCGATAGGCGCTATCAGCTTGCCGGCCAGCTCGACACCCCAACCAGCGGTCCCTTCGAAAGCGGCATTCTCGGCGAGAGCATGTACTCGGACTCGGATTATAGAAGAGCTCTCGGATCGAAGAGAGCCCATGACGATATAGACCAGAATATTGGCGGCCCCACGCCTCTCTTCAACCTCCCTCCACAGCCGATGCCGTCGCAGAGCTGGGGAAGCTTCGCATTCTCTACTCTCGGTGGCGTCGTCGGGCGTGTGTGGGAGTTTTGCAAGGCCGGCGCCTTCCGAGGCTTCCAGGCCGGCGGTGGTAAGGCCTTTTCGGTGTCGACCGGCAGGCTACAGGAACTGCCGGAACTACCCTCGATCGACGAGAAGGCAGATGAGAACCAGTACCTACCAGGTCAATTCCCTCCGCAGGGAGATTACTTCAACCAGCAACCTGAGTACCCCGAGGATCCCATCAACAGCGGGGCATCCACGCCAACCGGACCGGCCGCGAAACGGAGGCATACTGATCATCGGGATGAGCTTGGTAGGAATTGGGTTCTGGTGAGTGACGATAAGCCAGCTCAGCCAAAACCTACCCCTCCAGCGCGACGTGCTTCCTATCGCCCGACCCCTCGATCGCGAAACACGGGCCCATCGATGGCAACCGGTCGACGCATCAGCACGCCCGCCTCTCGATTCTCATCAGCATCGACTCCGACCCAGCGACGACCGGCCAGTCGCCCTACCAGTCGCCTCTCTCATGTTCCTTCACCTTCACTGCCCTCCCCGATCCCAGCATCCACCGCCTCCTTCGCCTCCTTCGCTGGTACTCGATCTCCATCCCCTAGCAAGATTCCCCAGCCTACCCGACGTCGAAACACGATGGCACCATCTCCGAGTCCAAGTAACATGTCCCACCGCCGCTCTCATAGCAACGCCTCAACAGCTTCGGCACGTGCTTCAGTTGAAGCAAGCCCTCGACTTGATGCTGAGGCCAAGCATCTTGCTGCCCGTCGTAAGATGGAGGAGCGGGACACAGATGTGCGTATCAACGCCTTCAACAAGCAGCTACAAGATATGATTCGCCAGGGTCGGGAGGCCCTGGGCACAACGATTGAAGTGGAAGGCAATTGGGAGGATGAACTATAAGCGTTCCACCACCGACGACACGCTTACAGCATTTAGATCTTTGATGATGCCCGTTTTGCTGTTTTTGTTTTCTTGATGTTTCCACTGATACCCTCCCATTCTTTCTTTGGGCTGAAATTTTCTCGACGCTTAAGTATTGTTGTCGGAAGTCTGTCTGGACTGCTGAATGGGATGGATCTTACGCGGGAGTTCTCTGGTATCTGGTCGGCGTTGAAGAGAATGGAGGAATTTGTCTCTGGTCTTCATTGACCACTTCTTACGTTCTGCTCTAGGGATTGACTTGACTGGTGTTTACTTTATGCCATTTTACGCCTTCTCTTCTTGTCACTTCTATTCACTCAAACGGTTGGTTGAATCGAAACTTATGATCGAAACACCACCTTTTATAACATTTACGATATGAACCGCCTGCCAGTACGAGCACGTTGCTGTGCACGACACGAATGACCTACACGTCGAGGCCTTTAATAAAAGTTACGCATTGCCTCGTCATACCTCGCTTCGTTTCCTTGACCGAGATCCTTCGTCCACGATACTCCTGATCCTGACACTCACTGCGACGTGCTCCGGAGCTAGCGGATTGCTCAAGACATGGTCATAATGCGGGAGGATTGCTTGGATTTAAACGACTGCATCTATCTATGTTCAATAACTCAACAGGGCTCACGAGATCCAAGTTAATCTTGAAGAGAGTCTATAGCCATCTCTCTGGATCCAAGTCTAGATCCAACGGGGCCGTATCCAACATATTCGCAAGTTCCAATGCAGACGCCATTGGCCAATCCCATACGTTCCACTGAAGTTGCTCGAGATTAGGCGGTACTTGAAGATCTGAGAATATCTTTTTGCAGAGCAAGTCGAGTACTTCGGCACACTGGGCCACATGGTTCCCGACATCATCCGTGTGTGTATGAAGCTGTCGCAGCGTCTCAATGCACGACTGTATAAGGCTCTCGTCTTGGTCGACCGTCACGGGATACCCTTTCCAGCCAGCGAAAAGTATCGTTAAGCCTGATTGCCAGAGCATGTGTATTCCGTTGGGGTATAGAAGCGTCACAAGGAGACTTTCTGGCCAGCCGCTAGCAGGATACTCTGCACCTTGGCTGTCGGTTCCCATCATGGCTAGGCCAGCCGACAATAGCCTAACGAGGGTGGCGGAAGCTTGACCACAGGCTTTGAGTGATGGGACAAACTGCGCATCGGCGACGGTGAAAGAGAGAGCTGGTCGATGGACATGAATCGTCGCGACGCAGTGCGCAACCCTCAGGAATATTGCCTCGAGCGACATGTTGACGACCGGCGTGGCCAGTTCAGGGTCCATCTCAGGCTCGAGGACCACCCTCTCCCACATATTGAGTTCAGCTTGCAGATGGGTGATCTTTGACACTCCGCCACGGCGACGGGTAGTGGTGTAAAGATCTTCAAGCGTCCGTCCGATGATGCGGGCGAGCTTGAACAGGCTGATGGCGGTGTCAACTTGTGACCTCTCCCCTGGCAAAGGAAACTCGACATGTGTTCGTGATAGAAGGTCATGGTCTACACTTGTTGGGAGATCTGTGTCGACGTCTTGGTCGCGTATTAATCGAGGCATGCCATGATAGGCACTCGAGAATCTGGAATGGAGTCAGCAACAGGCATTTAAAGAGAGGTGTGATACTGACGCGTCTAGTGAGTATTGGCACCACCAAGCCCGTCTTCTCAGTTCCGTCTCAAGGGGATCAAACTTGAAGCGATGTGAATGGCGGTGGAGACCTAGAGTCTGAGCCAAGCGCGTTGCTACCCCTGATATGTGAGAGGCTGTGGAATAGCGCCCAGATAGTTGGAGATATATCTGCATGATGACGAGTCCCTGTAGGCTTTGAAGACTTGGTTGATCAATCACCCTGTCTAGCAAAGCCGTGGCCATGGTATAGAAGCGCTCAGACTGGCATAAGAAGTGATGGTGCTGTTGAGTGCAGTCTCCCCTTTGGCCAATTGTTCCGAGGGCAAGCAGCCCAAGAATTTGATACGAGATGATAATGCTAGAACTGCTAGCTTCGTAGAAACCGAGTAGCCTCTGCATAGAATCTATCGTTGATGATTTGTGAACAATGGGATACAGAGGCGTCCACCTGTTGATGGTGGCCTCTATAATCTCCACCGTGTTTGGTGGTAGCTGTTGGACCAAGTCTGAGACTGCAGGTGTGAGAGGGTTTTGAACAGAGGAACCCCAGGGACTGTGTAGATACAGGCCATATGCGCAGCTGGGGAATGCATCCTTGTGCATCTGGAGAAGTTGAAGCTGCTGCTCTGCCTGGCTGATGAAGTGGACGCCTGTAGTTGAGCCGCCAAACATGGAAGCTTGTCGATCATCTGCCACAAGGCGTCCCATGTGACCGATCACAGGCTCATTTGCCGACTTTATCGTGATGGGTTGTGCTCTGTTCATTGTGCTGCTGGGTCCTGGAGTGTTGGTTATCACAGGCAGTGGCAAGGCTTGACCTGTCTGCTGAAGGGTGAGAGACTGTGATGGGACGACATTTTGGGATATCGGAGTTGAGACTTCTGCAGTGTGTTGAGAATGGCCTGGGGGTGTTTGGCGGCGCTGCTCAATACCCTCGGCCTCGTAGAAGCTGCTTTAAGTTAGAGAAGTGAACTAGTTGCCTTGAAATATCTTGCCTTTTCCGTTTTCTGTTTCTTTTCAACTTGGCTGTAGTCACACAGACAATGCCTGCTTGAAGGCAGGGAGAGCACTAGAGAGTTAGTATAGAAGGTCTGAAGCAATAAATCTTCTCCCTTACATCATTGTCTTGACCATGGCATCTAATCTTTCTCCTGAAAAATAGTTAGTCGAGGCCATGCAAGTGAACTGCTGGGTGAATTGGAGAAGATCCATACCGCCGACATCGGTCACTGTATGATTCATGTTAGTATAAGTAAAAATGCTTCTGAAGCAGCTCAGACTCACCACACTTGACCCGGAACTCTCCCAGAAGGCGGATCAGAAGGGGCACTTTCAACTGTCGAGGTCATTAGAGAGGTTGTTAAGATTCAGTTTGTACCTGGTGATCAGTTCGAGATTACGAAATGGTCATGCCAGGTACAATGCGGGGTCACACTAGCCGAAATTTGGAGAACCGCTAATAAGTGGAATTAGCAAGGTTTCAAGCAGGTTTAAAGCGCCATGGAATCTCTCCTCTAAGACAGTTGTATAAGTCCTACTTGGATGAAGTGAATGAAACTAAATCAAAATCCTATTCTGATAGGTGCAAACCAAGATTCTGTTCTACACCCAAGAAACCGCAACTAACTTGATCTAAGGAGAATAAGAGAAGCTTGACATGACCATAGACGTTTAGTAGGCGTAAAGGGCAACCGCCTCGTTCTCCGACCTCTGAATCTTCTTGTTGAGTCTCATCAACCAAACCCTCATAGCCCAAGCACACATGATGCTAGTCACTGCAAATCCAACCATGCTGGAGAAGCCCATTCTGTATACTGGATCATCTGACTTGGGCCAGAGGTAGGCGCAGTAGATGTAGGCCAAGTTGGCCGTGACGTTGACAAGGGCATATGCAACAGACTTCTTCTCAGGGGTCTGTGAGAGAGTGTTGCTAACCCAGCCGAGGATGACGGATCCAACAGAGTAAGCACCCGTGGCATACAGGAATGTCGCCGTGTAGCGTGTCGCTAGGTCGAGGGTGGCACAAGACATTACAAAACCAACCACTGCCAAGGAGAGACCGGCTGTGATGTGCCAAGTACGCTCGTTGAAATGGCCCGAAGACCAGGCAAACGGAATACCAAGGATTCCAGAAACAAAGTATGGAGGAGCGGTAAGGAGAAGAGCAGTGGTGGACTTGAATCCCATGGACCTAATGATAGTAGGGAAGAAGTTGTTGAAAGAGCAAGCACTAAGTTGGTCAGCTTTGATTCTTCAGATCAAGACTTCAACACACGAACCTGATGTGAAGATTCTGCATAAGACAGAAGAGCCAAGTGCGAGGATCACTGCAGGCTTGCTTCAGGCCTTCCCAGGTTGAACCTCGAGTCTGACCGCCAACAGTGTCTCGCTTGATTCTCTGGATGCAGAGCTCACGCTCCTCAGGGGTGAGCCAGCGAGTCTGCGAGGGATCGTCTGGGAGTAGGAAGAAGCCGAACAGGGCGACGATGGCGGTGACGCAGCCTTCGATGATGAAAAGCCTGTAGTTTTCGGTTAGTATATATACTTGCATTTAGAGGAGGATACACATACCATTGCCAGCCCGCAATTCCCTTGACCTTGTCGAGGGTTGAAAACGTGGCTGCGGCGATGAGACCCGAGCATCCTGTGCTCACAACCTGTCCGGTGTATAGCAAAGAGATGCGTGTGGCAAGTTCCTTTCGAGTGTAATAAATCGACAGCAAGTACAGAGCACCGGGGTAGAAAGGCTAAAGGCATCAAGTTAATAACTGAAGTTTGTATTGGGTGGTCAGACTTACAGCTTCAACAAAGCCTAGGAAGAATCGACAAGCAATCAGACCGCTGTAGTTCTTGACAAGTGCGGTACAAGCCGAGACGGTGGCCCAGCCGATCATGCAGCAAGAAAGATAGATCGAAGGTCGAGTTCGTGTCATGAACATGTTGGAGGGAACTGAGCAAGTTAGTCTTGCTACTCTGATTGATGCCAAGGATGAACAAGCGTACCTTGCATCAGTAGATAACCAACAAACAGGATCGAAATGGCAGTGTTGTATTGGACGCCTTTGAGGTTCAGGTCCTCTTCGAGGGTGTTCAATCGGGCTTGGGGCAGGGCATTTCGATCGAGATAGTTGAGGAAGTACATGGCCCAAAGGATGGGCTTTTCTAGTTAGCAATTGGATATGAATTGTTCTTGAGAGACATACCATGATCATCCTGTCAAGCTTCCTAACAAGAGCAATCTCGGCGGGATCTGTTTTAGCAGCAGCACCAGAGTAGTCACCACGAGGGTTAACGGGCTCGTCTTGCTCAAGCATCTTTTCGTCGTGGATCGCCTCAAGCTCGGAGGGCTTCATGTCCTTGGATAGTCGAGCAGTAGCAGCCATGATGAGATCGAGTAGCACAATAGAGGGATGAGGGAAGATGGATCTGGAAAAGTGCCTTGAAGTCTGGGGAAGTGAGAAGACATGTTTGCATCTATATACTCCCAGACCACTCTCTGGTCCAGACCGTTTTACCTTTTAGACTCGAGCTATCAGCCCCGTGGAGAAATTCCTAGCCCTCTGGGGAAAATGCGGAGAAGGACGGTGTAAAGTCGTTGGACACATGGATCGTCGTCGAGGGTTACGCCGTTATCCCGCTATCCCGTTATTCCGTCAGCTTATCCCGCTCCAACGCCGTAACATCGACTCCACAGGTGGCCTTGTTATTCGGAAGAGGCGACGGAATAGGGATTTAAAGCGGCGGGATTAAGGAATTGGGAGAGGTGATTGGTAATTGGGGTGTGGGCTGTTGCAGGGAGGAAATGCATAAAACGTCGACTCCCGTATGACCGGTGTTGGACCTTGGTTCTATACCCATTCTTGACCTTAAGTGTTCTTGACCAATTATCATCATGGCTGCCGCTACTGTCTTTGACTCGACCCTCTTTGGAAACACATTCGGAACTGAAGAGATTCGAGAATGTTTTTCAGAGAGGTCATACGTTTCCAAGCTCATCGAAGCAGAATGCGCCCTCGCTCGGGCTGAGGAAGATGAGGGAGTGATTCCTCAAGGCACTGCTAGTGTCATTCAGAAGCATAGCCATGTCTCTAAGATAGACTGGCCTTTGCTGGCACAAAAGGCAGAGATTGTAGGATACCCCATCCTCGGCCTTGTGGAGCAGATGGCTTCATGGGTTCCTCACCAAGAGGGCAAGTAGACTTCCTTGGCAAAAGGCTGGCAACTGACATTCTCTAAGCTGGATACATCCATTGGGGCGCTACTACACAAGACATCATGGACTTGGCCTCTCAACTACAGATCAAAGAAGGTCTCGTGATTGTAGAGCGTCAACTCAACGAAACCATCAGCATCCTCGAATCCATGACATCAAAGTACCGCGACACATCCATGGCAGGTCGAACACATCTGCAACACGCTTTGCCAATTACCTTTGGTTACAAATGTGGCGTCTGGCTTGCTGGACTACGACGTCACGCAGAACGCCTGCAGCAGATCAAGGAGCGCTGTCTGCTCGTGCAGTTTGGTGGTGCGGCTGGTACTCTGGCTTCTTTGGGCACATCAGACAGTGGGATCCGAGTGCGAAAGAGGCTGGCGGTCATCTTAGGTCTTCGAGACCCTGTCATCACTTGGCATGTTGCTAGAGATACCATTGCAGAGGTTGTCAACTTTTTGGCATTGGTTGGAGGGTCACTCGGCAAGATTGCCCTCGACTTGATCATGATGTCCTCGAACGAGCTGAACGAGGTGAGTTGTCATATTCACGTCTCCGAATAGATAACTGACTGGGTACATGCTAGGTTGCTGAGCCATTCGTGCCTCATCGAGGAGCATCCTCAACAATGCCCCAAAAGAGAAACCCAATCTCAAGCGAGATCATCCTAGCCCAGTCAAAGATCCTCCGAGCACAAGCAGGACTCGTGCTAGACGCCATGGTATCAGACTTTGAGCGAGCCTCGGGTCCTTGGCACCTGGAGTGGGCAGCACTTCCAGTGGCTTTTATCTCGGCTGTTGGATCGCTTCATCAAGCCAACTTTGCACTCTCTGGTCTGCAGGTCAACCAAGATGCCATGAAAGCTAACCTTGAGTCGACACGGGGCTTGATCGTTGCTGAAGCTGTCATGATGAAGTTGGCTGTGTACGTTGGCCGACAGGAAGCCCACGAGATTGTCTATGGGGCTTGTGTGTCAGCGCTGGACAGGAATACTTCGTTGCTCGAGGCACTAGAGAAGGTATCGGAAGTCACACAGCATCTGTCTTCTGAGGAGCTGTCATCGTTGTGTGACCCTAGCCAGTATCTGGGTTGTTGCCAACTGATGGTGGATGAGCTGTTGGCTTCGTCTTCTGAGAGTGTCAAGACGAATGGGAAGATAAATGGCAAGACGAACGGTGTGACGAATGGTGTGGCGAACGGAACGACGAATGGCCATCATTGAAGGACTTTGGATGTATAAGACATGTAAACAGATAGGGACACAGAATTGATTACTATTAAGAATAGAGTCCTAATTACCTCCCATGGAGAATAGATGAGCGTGAAAGAATCGACCCAACAAGCACACCATGATTATCTCGTTTCCAATAATAGATATCGATGGTATGCTAACAGCGGCGATTCCATGAATGTTTGCCCAAATGCAAGCCCCTATCTTCAAGCCAAGCCAAGTCTCGTAATCTATGCAGTTCAGTCTGTAGGCAACCAAGCCACCTGCCATTGGCATTGGCCATTGGGCTAAACAGCGTACCATATTGTCGAATGGTGGACATTGATGGCTGGAGTTTGTTTGGATGATGGTTAGGGAGATGGAAGTGGCAAACCCTGTGCATCTATTGCTATCTGGGATACGGTCCTTTTGGAGAAAGGCTTTCTTGAGGCGTCGAGAGCTCATCATGGAGTAGATAGCTAGGACCAAGTGCATTATCTATCGCTACGCTATAAAGCATTGGGTGTTGAGGCTGTTGATCTCTACCAGGTACGTTCCGCCCCCTATTTCTTCCTCTATGGGGCTGACCTTCTTATCATGCATTTGACTCTGGTTGCTATCTTGTGTAGCCTGCAGTTGGCAGCTGCTTGGTGGGGACAAAAACAAATAGACATTCCCATCGGCGTTGCTATTCACAGCTGCACTCAGAAAGATGTTGTCGCGCTCACCTTTGACGATGGACCATTCTATTACACCGATCCACTCCTGGACCTTCTTGCTGGGGCTGATATGAAAGCTACCTTCTTTGTTAACGGAAAGAACTGGGCAAACATTCAGGACTATCGTTCTACAATCATTCGAATGGTTGAAGAGGGGCATCAAGTTGCCTCACACACGTACGTCCTTCCTTGAAATCTTATGTCGATGGCTATGTTGACAAGCTTGTAGCTATGGCCATCCAAACCTAGCAAACCTCGACGAGGCCAATGTCAAGTTAGAAATGACAAAGCTGGAGGACGAGTTCATCAAAATCATGGGCAAATTCCCCATCTACATGCGTCCACCGTTCTTGAGCTACAACAGCCAGACCTTGAAAGTCCTGGGCGAGCTTGGGTACCACGTCATTGATACCGATATTGATACTCTTGACTGGCAACATAAAGAACCTCACGCGGTGGGACAATCTTTGGGGCTTTTCTCGACCAGGCTGTGGAATGGAGGTTCTATTGTTCTGATGCATGATATTCACCGCAACACGGTTATGAACTTAGTGCCGTTGGTCATCAAGCAGCTCCTCCAGAGTGGGAAACGAGGTGAGTTTTGTTCTTATTGTGGATAACTTGAATCTTACACCTTCTTAGCTGTTACGATTGGGGAATGTCTTGGGGATCCCGAGAAGAATTGGTACCGGGATTCACGTTCCGTGGTCAAGTATTTGGTTAAGGACCACTCGAAGACAACCAAGGACTGGCGCGTGTATAATATTTGGAAAGCCAACAAGCTTACTTGGTCCGAGTCGAGTCGTGTGGGTGGATAAGGGAGTCTTATTGTCTATCCTCGCCAGCATCCTTGAAAAGGGCAAACTAGAAAAAACTCAGGTCTACCATTTTATCCCTCCTAAAACTTCTCACTTCAATAATACCATACGATAAAAATTAGGACAGGCCTCTGATTGCTCTTGTTTGTATGACCTCTGAGCCGATCGGCTAAATGCTTGACGCCATCCATCTCGCAATGCACGTCATGTTACTCGACAACAAATGGCAAAGATGAAAAGCCGATAAGCGTGATGGCACAATACCCGAGATTATCAACTCATTGACTTTATCCCCCGCACCTATATGATTGATAAGCTAACCTTGTACTGTAACGAACCAATCCGAGCCGGAACTCGCTATCATGACCTTGCAGACACGCGCAATCTTTCGTAGAATGATGAAAACGAGCCGAAGAGTGTGATATAAGTGACAGCTCAACTCTAACTCACAAGAAACAGTTGACAACCTTCAACTTTGCCTCTTTTCAAAATGGCTCACCTCGAATCTCGAAAGCACGTCTCCCCAGACTCTGGGTTCCCAATCACCCTTCATCCTCACTTCAACGCCAAGATCAAAGATTGGGCCCCTCCTGAGCCACTGCGCGAGGAAATCACGCCTCCTCGTGATAGGGCGCACTTTGCAGATCCCGAAAAGAAGGCTTTGTTTTCCGTGGCTAAGAAAACGGACCTTACAGAATCTATTGGATCCGTTCTGGAGAATGTTCAGCTGTCGCAGTTGACGCCTCAGCAACTGGATGAACTCGCTTTGCTTGTTAATGAGCGAGGTGTTGTCTTTTTCAGAGACCAGGACCTTGATACTGAGAAACAGGTCAAGTTGTTTGAGCACTACGGTATTCTCGACCGTCATCCTGCACAGAAGGATGTCAAGCACGTCGTGATTCGGGGGAGCACACAAGACCACCGAGAGATCGCCAAGTACACCCCCTGGCCATCGGGAGACTTTCACGCAGATACTTCCTTTGAAATCAACCCTCCTTCTTATTCTCTTCTTCGTATGGAGGAGCATCCTGAAGTTGGGGGAGATACTGCGTGGATTTCGGGTTACGGACTCTATGATACTTTGAGTGATGCCATGAAGAGATTTGTTGAAGGTCTTCATGCTGTTCACACTTCACGAGTACGTATGATTTTCACTTGAAAGAATCATGATACTCATATGGTTGCAGTTGCAATACGACACTATTCTTGACCTTTGGGGAACAGGGCCAAACCGTCCTCCCATCGATACCCATCACCCCGCTGTGCGGACCCATCCAGTGACGGGACTCAAGGCTGTCAACGTGAACCCAGGCTTTGTAACTGGGTTTGCTGAGTTGAAGAAGGTGGAGTCGGGTAAGCAAACCGAAATCAACGCAGGATTTCAGACACTCATTTTCTACTAGACAAACTGCTTGACTTCTTTTCCTACCATCTCCACTCTGCCGATGATCATTATGTAAGATGGAAGTGGACAGTGGGTGCTGTGGCTATGTGGGACAACCGGTATGATTCCAAGTAAACCATTCTAGTTCTACTACTCACAAGCTCTAGATGTGTCCTTCATCGTGTGATTCCTGGAACTTACGATACGCCTCGTCGAGGTATTCGAACGACAGTCTTTGGAGAGAAGCGTGAGTTTGCATGTCATGACTACTTGCATTTGACTAACAATTCTTGGCAGCCTACTATGATCCGAACAGTGAAGGACGTGCTGAGCGTGAGGCGAGACTTCGAGCTGCTGAAAAGGAAGAAATCAATGGCGATGGAGGAGCGAGTTCGAAACCTACACTCGAAACTCCCGCTTGATTAGTTTAGCAAACCATTTTGGAATTTTGCGTAATTTCACAGGATTTATAGCAATGGTTTAACTCATCCCCGGATACATCGTCCTTGCCAATGTACATGAACCCATCTTCCACTATTTGCGGGCCTTGATATACACCTTGAACCCCTTGGGCTTCACAAACCAGTAGTTGAGAGTCTCTAGCTCCGCAACGTTAAAGTTGTTATTAGGAAACGAAAAGTCAAAGTCACGAATAATCCGTGGTATCAACTTGGATATCTCCATCGTAGAAATGTGTCTCCCGATGCATGTTCTTGCGCCCATGCCAAACTTGTCAAATAGTCAGCCATGTTATCTCAAGGGAGAGGTGGTTACTTACCGGTATCCAGTGACGGTTCATGGCATCTAGCTTTTGCTTGTCGCCTTCTAGCCATCGCTCGGGGCGGAACACGTCTGCGTCAGGGCCAAAGATTGTCGAGTTGACGTGCTCTACCCAAGTGTTGACGCCCACAATTGTCTGGTCAAGTTAGTAAATGCACCACTGAGAGAAGTCAAGACCTGCTTACCCCTTCTGGAAAGAATTGCCCAGCAATCGTTGCACCGCCTTTGGGAACCACCCGTTCCAAAGGTTGCCCAGTTGCTGGATGCAACCTCAAGCCCTCTTTCAGCACAGCTTGAAGATACTCCATATCCTGAGTCTCCTTGAAACTAAAGTGTCTGGGGTCTGCAGCTCGCTGCTGGTGTTGCTCAATTTCTTGACGAAGCTTTTGGGTTACTTCTGGATTCTTCATGAGAAAGAAGAGAATCGCAGAGAGACTGATTCCTGTGGTGTCTGACCCGGCTGTCATGTTGGATGCGCATCCACTGAGGACATACCAGGCGTCATATGTAGCTGGATCCTTTCGGTGCCGAGCCACATACTTTGAGAGAAAGTCCATTCTTTGAACGTCCTCGTTTTCGACGTCCAGATTCTTGGGCTTGGATTGGTGCTCCTTCATGCATCGCTCCGTAAATTGGATGACATACTGTATCCCAGTGCCAGAATTTCCGGCAAACCAGTTACGGATGGCGAATAAAGCGGGATGGATCCAGGAGAAGATACCAACCCTACATGCATAAGCCAGGAATCCTTCCAAGGAGGCCATGATGCCGGCTATATCCATGCCTTGATCGAGGAAGCCGAGTCTCGTCGAGTATGTGATCATGCTGATGACATCGAAAGCATAACACTGGAACCAGTGGCCCATATCGACCAAAGGCTTGTTCTCTGTAGAGTTTGGATCCGCAGCCATCTCTCGGAGTCTCTGATCGAACAGATCGGCACATTCGTCTACAAAGTCTTCATACGAGATCAAAGCCGACATGGCATGAGTACTCTGGTAGAGTCTTCGCAACTGAGAATGTTCCTTGATATTCTCATGGGCAAAGATAGACGGCTGATTAGGATCGGGAGTAGTGAATGTACGGTAGAAGGAGGACTTGGCAAACTTGTCAGCTTTGCCAACACCGTAAATGATCTGGGCTGCCTCTGGGTGGTCGAAGCTATATCGATTGGGTCCATAGCGAACAATGGGGCCATATTGACGATGAAGATTAATGTTGTCGCGTTCAAAGTGTCCTCGAGATACTCGATTAAGGTACCATAGATCGGTGAAGCGCGCTAGAGTAGGTCCGGGGACATTCTTGAGGGGAGAGAAGAGGGTTTGATAGACACGAGACAGAACCTTGAGGGCGACCACCAGTGCCAGAGAGCACAAGGGTACAAGATAAATGAGAGCCGCCATATTGTCGACGAATAGACAATATGTCTTGCACTGATTTGTTCAATTGGGATATGCGACCACTTTAAGAGAAGCCCTTCCCGTGTGGTCCCGTGTGGGGATCCGATACTCCATCTCACTGATGTACTCCAATTCTGGGCACCAATTACATGAGGCTATTGTCCGATGCGGGGAGCCGAGATCATCGTGGAAGTGGGTATATAAGATGATGGATTTGTGTTTGGTATGTAATGATACTGTTGCTTTTGTAAGAAGTTGTGGCCCCTAGTGATGTCCATGGTGTGCTGGTCTCAACTAGCCTCTGGCTGTCGTGGTGCGAAACCATATGCATACATCTGACGAGTTATGGAAGGATATTATTAAAATTAATAGGCGAGCTAAAAGCCGGACTGCGCATGAGTAGTTCCCTCGGTGACTGGGTCTTGATTGCTGGTAGAGGGTTGTTACCATGTCTCAAAATTGCTTCTGTAAGAGACGCTTAAGGCCTAATGTGCTGTGCTTGCCCTGCAGTTTGTGTGCTCAACCAATCGGGGAGCACGAGTCCTCAACACCATTGGAGAATACTTGGCCTCTCCCCGCTGACAACAACAGCAGCAACACTCCCAACTATGACAAGAGAATCATCCCGCCGAGACACCATTATGCTCGACCAAGGCTCACAGAGGCCACCGAAACTACTCATCCAAATGTCTGGTGCGCCCGGCTCTGGCAAGAGCACGATAGCAAGGCTCCTGCGACAGTCAATTGGCGGGGTCGTCGTCGACCACGACATCTTGAGATCCTCCCTCCTTGAAGACAATGACGGTTCATTTGACCAAGTAGCAAAACGCGCCTATAATTTTCAATGGAGGCTCGCGGAGGATTTCATGAAGCAGGGACTCAACGTCATCGTGGACAGTACCTGCAACTTCCAAGAGGTTCTCGATCGGGGTTCAGCCCTTGCTGAGCAGCAGGCCTTTACTTATTGGTACGTCGAGTGTAAGGTCGAGGACATCGACCTTCTGGACGAAAGATTGCGCACGCGGGACCCCATGAAGAGCCAGCGAACCGCCGTCGATTGCCCTCCTGCCGCCGCGAGCAGCGCTCGTGCAGGCGAGGATTCTCGGGCGCTCTTCAAGAAATGGATTGAGAGCCCGTGCCGTCCCAAAACAAACGTCATCATGTTGGATTCGACGAGCAGTCCAGAGGTGAACCGAGACCTTGTCTTGAAGCAGATTGTCGGTTGAGTGGGTGAGTGGCCAGTATCACGGCCACGCTGTGGGCTATTAAGCGTTTAGAAGTTGGCCGATGTGCTTCAGATTATCCAGCAGGGCAGCTTCAGAACCCCCCTAAAGTTCTGCGGATATTTACTGAAACATCAACGCTATGGAGCCTTTCGAATAAAGTAGTGGACTTGGAGGAGTCAAGGTGGTGAACAGTGAGTGACAGCCCCGTGCTGTTGGCTTTGGAGCACCTTCATGCAGGTCCAAGATCCGGCGCAAATGTCACCGCTAGTAACTTGGACCATTTGATAGTTCCATCCATGAGATCTGTCGACCCTTTGCCTGAGCATCATCGGCATCAACGCCGATGGGTACAGCTGCAGGACTCTCTTCAAGACCTTGATCACCAGCAGATGCGACAGCTGCAGCTCCTTTGGCTATTGCCTGTATCTGGTCTCACGCAAGAGAGTCTGCTACATGTGCTTCAAATACCGTGTCAAGCATTTCCCCGTGAGGAGACGCTATGTCTTAACGGCTAGTGATCTCTGGCGAGGGAAGATATCTAGACGGCGCGGAAAGATGGCCAGACAGTCCCAGACGTCAAACACCACTGACACGTCAACTGACACCTCGCAAGACAATATCCACGTCCACTGTCGCGTGTCGTTGCGTAACCATCAAGGCTGAGTGGACATCGCCCACCGAGCGCCGGGCCGGGAGGGGCCTAGAAAGCCAGCGGGGAGATGGCGCTGGTCACGGGGAGCTCGGGTGGTCGCATGAGCAACGGGTCTAGAGCGATAGTTGCTGATCCGAGGCGGAACTCGGGGGCGAGAGCCGAAGCGACGAGCCGGGAATAGCGTGATCTCTCCTTCGGGAAGAGTGGAATGTTGAATGTCGCCTCTTGGGGGCTATTGGTGGGACTGAGCACGCTATTGGGGATGCATGTCGGGGACTTGGCGGGACGTGAAATGGACAGCTGCTGGATGGAGAGTATCTTGGAGATAACTTCAGAGGAAGCAGTCAGTGCGCATAACTAGGTGAATCTGAAGTTATTCACGCAGTAACATTCAAGAATTGAACCAAAGAACCTGGTGGAGTCATTCCGTGGGGGTTCATCAATCTCGCTGCCTGAGGCTATTCCCAATCCCACCATACTGGATCCAATGCCCATCCGATCCGGCTAGATCCATGACACAAGCCCCCTTGCTTTGCGATGGATATCGGGGAAATCGGGGAGTTTGACAGGATGCAAGACGGGGGGGCCACAGGCGAAAAAACGCCAATGGGGATAGCCGACGACCGATGCCCGTCGAGAACCTGAGACCCGGGAGAAGCCTGTATCCATTCGATCTTGAGAATCGGCAACACTAAATGGACATCTCGAGATGAGAGATTGCGAGATGCGAATGAGGAGATCACAACTGCCTCTTGTTCTCACAACATGACCTATCCTAATACTTAGAAACATCACATCTCGTGCCCTTCTTCCCCTTCTGGACATTTGTCCCTAACGCACACCCCCTTCATCCCGGCGTGTCCGTTCGCCCACCGACAGTCCGACATCCGTAGCCCGCCGATCCGCCACCCTCGGCGGCCGGCTCGCTCAACAGCCAAACCCAACCTCACGAATGAGCAAGCAGAGAAAAAAAATCGAGATTCCAGTTCCCTGATCCTCCTCGGAGTTGATCCAACAACCCCCTCCTCCCTTCAATCCCTTCGAATTAATCAAACGCAGCCTATCTTCCCCCGACGACCCGTCTCTTACCTTTTCATGATCCTTCAACTCCAACAGCAGCCATGACCAGGACCAGCACTCCCTCAAAGGCAAGCGGCGGATCCTCGGCGGCGACGGCTCCCGCCCGGCGTTCGGCAGCCGGCCGGCCTTGTAAGGCGAGGTCGCTCGCCTGTCGAGAGTGTCGCGACCGCAAGATTCGCTGCGACGGAGCGCGTCCCGTGTGCGACTCTTGCTGCAGGCGAGGACTTGGCGCTGACCAGTGTGTGTATCCCGAGATTGAGCACGAAGGCTCCATCGCTTCGTCG